TCGAGGTGAACTCAAGTCCGAGCATGAACTTAGACACTCTGCTGGATGAGAGGATCAAAGTTGCACTGATAAGGTACGGGACAAGCATCTTCGGCATCCGCTGGTCTATACCACGCGGCAAACTCATCGTATGGACTTATAATAGCATTCTCTCGTTACTTCAAAACGGAACTGTCTCAGTTCTGGAAGCATTCAATGTTGTCACGCAACAGAGGGGATTCGGAGTTTTGCCGAGTATATGGCTACGATTAAAAGTGTGATTCACGATGTCAATTCCATCGTTTCAAAGTTGATGCAAGACTTGCACTGCAACCCGATTGAACACATACCCAACTTGCGCATGCGTGCATTCACTCTCAGAGACACAATCGGTGTAGTGGATCCCATCCCGTTCGATCGAAGAGCAGTGATGGAGGTCCTATCACGGAGACTCAAGCCGCCTACTAGAGAGGGAATTTGTGCCACCAAGCCGAGCCGACGCCCGCTTGGCATGAGCGTGGGCTTCCACCACTCAGTCACAACTCGGCAAAGGTTCCTTCATGGTAGATGACCACCGAGCAAATAAATTCTGATCTACATGAAATACTCTGCGGAAAGTCCCTGCAAAAAGAGCGGGACGAATGCTTCATTGAAACGGCGTGTATGTAACTTTGAAGTCCGGATTAGGTTGCGATGACTGTTTGCAGATAACTTTGAGCGAATAGCACCAGGAGAGCTGTGGGAGAGAGTACAGTCCATGAAAAATAAGATGTTCATGCCTCCTGATAATTCACCATAGTTTCCTGTTGCGAAACACCGACATGTGTTCCTCTGAAGTTACAACATGTATGAAATGATGATTGAGCCCAACCTGCTACACTCATTTCCAAAATGCGAACTATGCTATTGCAAGTCCGGCCTCGAGAGAGGCACTTTTGTGTTGCGGGAATTGCTCAAGTCAGATTTCCGCCACGACCCCAGTGATCGTACAAACTCCATGACACTGAAATTTATTCCTCCTGGGAAAATTCTAAGCCCACCGATGGGAAAAACTGTGCTTCGCTCACGCCAAGCTTCAGTACTCAAAGTGGCTGTTATCACTATCCGTTATCGTCAAGATGCTCTCTTCCAAACTCACTTTGGAATGCAGCCGTTCGTCCGCAACAGAACCAGAACGCAGCTCCTCGTCCGCGGCAGAACCGGAACGCGGCCCTCCGTCGACAGCAGAACCGGAACGCGGCCCTCCGTCGACAGCAGAACCGGAACGCGGCCCTCCGTCGACAGCAGAACCGGAACGCGGCCCTCCGTCGACAGCAGAACCGGAACGCGGCCCTCCGTCGACAGCAGAACAAGGGAATGCAGCCGCTGCAGCCTGGTTCTGCTGTGCAGCCTCTGGTCCGCAGCAGGACCAGAATCGTCGTTGTTCTCAGTGGTGGCGAACTAAGTCGAGCTGTTGCGAATTACGACTATGTTCATTTCAATACAGTTTTCTGGTGAAGTGCCGCTCACAAAATCGTGTGTGTTATGATTTTGTCACTGTTGGAGGAATATATCTTCGCCTTCCTCATCTGAGCTCAGGAGTTTACCCACGTACATATGAACTAGGGTAGAAGTATGTATGTGCGTTTCAAGTTCACGGCGTCGCCGGCTTGGCTAGACTTGATGTCGATATGCTAACCCTTTGATGGGCTCTTTGTTGCGTTATTCAGTTTGCCAGAACGAACAGCAGGAGCAGACCAGACCACTCCTCACCGTGGGGCTGTGTCCAACGACCGACACACTAGCGCTGACCAGGAGTTTCATCTGCAGGTCTCGGGAACTCAATGACCTAGCTGGTCCTCACTGCTCACACGTGCAGACCTTTCTCGGCTTCAGATTCAGTTGACTGTTATCACCGACACATGCAGTTGACTATATACATGTTTCCCTACACTTGAACCGCGTAACGAGGACAACCCGAGACTAACCCGTAAACTGTTCGGGCACGAGGGGAAACTCAACACTACATGTAGATGATGTTAACAAAAAAAATAATCATTTCTAGTGGAGTGTTTTCGTTCGAGGCATGCCGCGGTAACTCTGGACTGTCGCAGGGGCGTCAACTGGGTGCTCGATGTGGGCGTAGTTATTCTTAAGTGGATGAGGGAAAGTCTTGTCACCTCTTCCTGATATGTGCCGTATATTCACATCTAAAACAAGAGGCGATTCACTTCGCTCCGCTCGAGATGATAACATTAGATGAAATCTATGGCTTTTCCCACGGGCAGATTTACGTCACGACTCACTTTCACGGTTACGTTTGATAAGTTCAACGTGGAATATTTTCGCCACAATTCCAGAAAGGCAGTTCAGCACCAACCGTAAACTACTTACATCACCGAACGGAATATAATCTCTAATATTTCGAACGATCGGCATCAAGAGGAAGTTACCAGCTCCTGAGTGAACGATTATATCGGCCAGAATTTCCCGATGGCATTGCCTCCAGTCCCCTTCACTGCATAGCAATACCGTCACTCGCCCATCTTCGAGCGTTTCAGTCAGTTGTAGTACCTAAATAGAGTGAGTGTTTTTGAGAATAATTTCATCAAAGGTAAAACGCCACACTGAACTCAGCGAACTCAGACCAATTGCCTCCCCAAGGGCGCTTGTGAACTCTGTGCGAAGAATGCTAACACCGACAATGACAAATACAATCACGAGAATGACAGTAACACAGCGAAATTCAACAATAGAACTGACAAGAGAAATCCAAATTCGATGAATTTACGGTAAGCAGCCACCACCGCCAATTTGAAGTTGCAAACTGCCGCCTCGATCACCTGTTGTATGCCTTGCTTCGTAGCAGTGCCATTCCACTCCTCGTCGTACACTACTGCACGACCCTTCCCCCCCAACCATTCGTTATGTTCATAATCAATGCCAACAGCCTCTAATGATGCTCTCAATGGTTTCGAACAGAACTGTGGGAACCTGGCCTAGATGATATTTTTTAATACTAACGCTGAATACCACACCTCTTTGAATAGGGGCTTTGCCGCACATCGACTACCCGTAGCACTCCAAAGTGTTTAAGAGTCTCTATGAGGTTCTCAATAGACCGGTTGCTGTGGCCGATGGTATACAACCTCTTGCCTCGTTTCATTAAGGGACTGCCACCGTTACACTACTTCTTCAAACGCAAAAATCAATTGTGTTATTGTCGGAAACACTGTTGCGCGATAATAGGATATTCGTACAGTTAAAGGGAAAGGACGAAGCAGAGCCATTCGTGTTTACACCAAGTGCAATCTCAGCAGACGTGCTACTGAGGAGTATTCATCTCCACCCTAGGAGAATAGCAATGCCAACGTTCTTTCCAAACGCAGACAACTGAATGGCTCCGATCTACGGAGAAATGTCAACGTACTAGTAGAAACCGAAGAGGGATAGTAAGAGTATACAACAATAGAACAGTGTTTATGCAATGGGGACGTTGTTAGTCAAACCACAGAGTAGTAAAGTCAAACGCATAAGAATAGTCTGATGATCGCTGGACGCAAGGAACTACAAGGTATTTGACAGTCCTGCAGGAAGAGGACAGTTATAATGACGACGTCAAATGAAGTGTACAAGTCAACGATAGTAGTAAATGCTCGGTGTCGACGAAATGGTTATCGGCATTGCCAAACGCCTAAGCTCAGGAGAAGCGCGTGGCTTCTCAACGAACTCGGGCGAGTTAGGGACTTCAAATTTGTTCCGACACAGCGGACAGGAAGTGCCCCGCAGTCTCTGAGATCTCACAGTGAGCCATTCTTCAAGGCACTCTCGGTGAAAAGAGTGACCACAACGTAGCACGAAGTCTGGACCGTGTTCTAGGCAAATACAGCAGGGCTCGAGAGAAGACTCTTGACAAGGTTTGCCGTTTTGTCCGAGCAATATGTCGATCTTATGCCCGATAGACATATCACTCTTAGTTTCACGACGGACCATCTCGGGCGTGCGCGCAGTTGTTCTGGTGCGGAAGAATAACATTAGAATTTGACCAGTAGCGAAAAGGTAAATGCTGAAATGACGAGACTACCCAAGCTAAAGAGAACGACAATTCGTATATCGTTGAAACGTGCGAGCGGAAACACTCATTTATTCGCATCATGCAACCACTGCTCAGCGAGATATTCTAAGCCGTCCTGAGACGATACTGTATTGAATTTCCTGCGAGGTTTTTTCGTCCATCTTGGTCGAGGCAACTTCGCTCCGAGAATCAGATGAGGGTGCACCAACGGTCCCTGAAAAAGGAAAATGTCTGCAAATCTCAGGAGGGACAGATAACACAAAATGCTAGCACGCACACTCACATCAGCGGAATGAATATCCAATCGCCGAGTCATACGGTGTTCGATCAACATCAACACATAAGCATCTTCTGCTGACAGCAGAACAGCTGCGGTCGCCAACGGACGGAAATCCCAATTGATATCTTCTCGCTGCAAAAAATGCACAAGTCAGACCCGACCACACATAGCGACTCTCACCCGTATCCTAGCTTCACCCGGAGCCAACATCATCTTCTTGCTATCTTCCCTATCAACATAGTTATATAGGAGGGCACGAGAGCTCATCAGACCACCGTGGAGTTCTACTTCATACGATAAACTAGCCGGTGCTGAGCTAACACCACGGACTGCCGCCTCGTGTTCGCGCGACTTCGCAATGGCTTCCGCTGAGATAAAGTAGCTGTATTAGGGGCATTCGTTCGAGCGATTTCGTTCCCTAGTGCAAAAACATTCGCATCTCATCACGAAAAAACCAGACGAAACAGTGTTCCACGTCACAATTCCAACGACCTCGTGGCGCAATGGAAGCGCGTCGGTTTCCGGAGCCGAAGGTTGCGGGTTCAAGTCCCGCCGGGGTTAATTTTCTCACATATATCTCCTTCACTCAACATCATCTCCGCCACCTCAGCCGGATCCGTTATTCCATTCTCCTTCCATCTCTCCACTTTCCGTATTCGCCGTTGACGCAGATCAACTACATTCGTGTACCTCACAAACAACCGCTAGTAGCCCATGAAATTACTAATATATAAATAATAATAACTAACACTGCTTCCCCTCACTTTATTTTCCGCATCTCAGCAACGTCTCTGTCCGCTGCCCAGTTGGATGCTCTCAACTCATCATTCGCAAACGCTCGAACTTCTTCACCATCATTCCAGTCGAGCTGCTCCTCATCGTCAT